GGGGGGTTAGGGTTAGGGTTTAGGGGAGAAGGGTCTGTTGGGTCACTACTCAGAGCTTGCCGAAGGAGTTGGGGTTCCCATGAACAAGATCGGGGTCGGAATAACTACCGATAATTACTGTTCCTGAAGGGTCCTTAGTACAGTCGTACTATATTCTACCCCCGACACCTTATTCTAATCACTAGATTCATGAGATATCTTAAGAGGAACCCTCTGCAGAGACCTCAAGGGAGCCCCGGCTTAAGGCTTGGATTTGGGGTCATGAGGAACCAAGCCCTTGCAATTCCTTTTTAGTACCTCTTCAAGTCCCTCCCCCCCCCCCCCCCGCGGCCCCGGCAGTAGCACCGTGCAAAGGCAAGCACGGCTGGGTTCCGACGATTTGCTTGGCTCTTGAGTCTCCGCCAGATTTCAGAGCACGCTACAAGGTTCAGGGCTCGCATTTCAGAACTCCGGGGATTCTCCTTACTGGTGCCAATGAGTTTTGGGGTTTATGGAACTCGAAATTTCCGTTTTGGGATGACGGCCCAAGGTTTGGAGGGGCTTGGAGCTAGGGTTGCCAGGTCCTCTACTTGGATCAAGGCTTGCTCTTCGCTGGGGTGGAGTGAGGGACTGGTTTTTGTTTGGGAGGGCGTCTTGGGTTCCTGATAGCGAGGATTTCGTCGGGCTTTGCTTGGGCTGCTTGGGGTTTATCTAACTTTCTTCAAAAGACACACGCTACAAACACCGGCAGCAAAGTACGGTGACTTTGGTGATCATCATTCTGCTAGACTCCCATACTGGTGCTTGCTGTGCAGGCTTTCGACGAGCTTCAAAACTGCTGCACGCAGCCCGCAGCCTTTTGACCCTCGGTCACGCTTTCCCCCACCTTCTAACGGGTATTTGATGGGCCTTGATCGTAGCAGGTCCGCACATCCTTGCGAAGAAATAAGCCACACACCCTAAACATCCGAGTGTGAGCGCCGAAACAACAAACATTAGACTCCCAAACATCCCTAAACCACCAAACAAAAACCCAAAACAAACCCCGCCCAATTCCGATGAACGGACCCAGAAGCCCTAATAAAACTGCAGTCCACTGCGACCTCATCCAGGAACCTCGACGCGAGCAGCGCGCGGAGTCACCCAAGAGCATGGAATCGCCGAAGCGTGTGGAATCGCCCAAGCGCGTGGAGTCGACCAAGTCTGTGCCCACGACTCCGGCGCCTACCTGCGAGCCCACAGCCCCTGGGTTTAGAGATGTTTAGAGAGCTTTCGTGTTTTGGGGTTAGACGGTTCAGGGCTTCGGGGTTTGAGTTTTGGGATTGAGGTAATTGGGTCTTAAGGTTATGGGTCGTGGGTTGGATTTCAATGGTTTCGAATTCAATTATCGAGCCTTGGGGTTTTGGTGTTGGGATGACTCGAGAACCTAAGCAAGGTAAGCCTTCAGGTGCATAGGAAAAAAAGGGTGTCTAGAGGACCATGGGAGGCTGGGAGGCTGTTTGCTCTTGTTTCTTGTTTGTTTTCGGGAGGGTGTAGGGGTTGGTGACCAACTCTGGAGTGTTTTCTGCTTGGGAAGTCTTCCTAACCGCCAAACCCTACTCGCAGTCCTAAACCCCAAACCCCAGTAACAGCAAAAAGCCCTAAACCACGGACCCTAAACCCCCAAACTCTATAGTACCCTCACAGCAACTCTCACAGTAACTCTTATACTAACTCTTATACTAACCCTACGAGCCCTGGTTCCTTAGTCCTAATCCTTCAGGTCATCGTTACTCACCCGGAGTACATGGACCAGAACACGAGGTGGGAGCTCTCCCTCCCTCGCTGCTGGGAACCCAGGGTTACTATTATAGGCTTTATAGTCTCTTTGGTTTAGGATTTAGGGTTTAGGGTGTAGGGTTTAGGGTTTAGGGTTACTATTCATTCTTCTTGAGTTGCTAATTTTAAAACTCCAAGGTATAAGGTAAGCCCAGAAACCCTTAAACAAGGCTCGAAGCNNCCCCCCCCCCCCCCCCCTGCGCTGCCAGCACGAAGGAGCCTAGGCAGACTAAGCCCTGCAGGTGTAGTTACTATTGCTACTATCGTAAATGGTCTCCAGTACTAGCATTAATTATCCTTAGGGTTTCAAACACACCATGAGGTACCCTAAAAACCTTATCCTCAGCATGAAGGCCCGAATATTAGCCAAGGGATTGCAGGTCCAGTTTAAGGCAAGTTCCCGGAAACTGCAGGTCCCGGCACCATTCCGGTCTGGACAGAGACTGACTTATCATGTGCGAAAGTCTTCATTGTTGTCCTCATTCTCGTCGACTTTCGTCCCTTTCGTAGGCCTCCGCGTGGTTCAGATCTCGATCCCTCATTTCGCCCTTCCTCAGGACGATAACATCCAAAGCGGAATGAAATCAGAGAGCCTCCGAGCGGTTTTTCGCCGGAGCTCCCAGTAAGCTCTTAAGGGAACCTCCTGCGGACTCGTGATAGAAGGTGACTGTTTCGGGTTTGGGTCCCGAGTGCTCCTGTGAGCTCTTCCTAGGGCCTTGAAGAGTCCTTACTGAGCCGAACGATGCCTTCTGAAGATTAGGGCGCCAGGGCTGTCAAGACAAGGCTTACATTTTACATTACTTGAGGATCCGTCTATCCATGGGAGTCAAGCACCTGACTGAGTTTGAGCGTCAGAGGCGACACGAACCTGATGCGCAGTGCTTCAAATCGAAACCCCCGCCCACTCAGCCACCCACCCATCCACCCACCCANNAGATACAGACACAGACACAGACACAGACACGGACACAGACACAGACACAGACACAGACACAGACACAGACACACACACACACAAGATACACACACACAACACACACGCACAAACAGACACAGACAGAGACACACACACACACAACACACAGACACACAAAAACAGACACAGACAGACACACAGACACAGAGACGCAGAGACACAGAGACACAGACAGTGACAGAGACACAGACAGTGACAGAGACACGGACAGACAGACAAACAGACTGACAGACGGACAGACAGGCAGGCTGGCAGGCAGACAGACAGACAGACAGACACAGAGAGAGAGAGAGAGAGTGAGAGAGGGATTCGTGGTGGCCAGGCGTGAGCTCCTGCGAACGATCTCAGATCACCAGCAGGGCCTTACCCCAAAGGTGGCTTGTCGCCAGGGAGGGAAAACCGGCTTGTTGATGGGCTAGTGCCTTCAGTGCTAGAGCATTATGATGATGATGATGACCATTATTATTTCTACTGCTAAAGCTGCCAGGGCACACAACATTTCCTGTTTCTGTGTGTATGTCAGTATGTAGGTAGGCATGTAGGTAGGTGGTAGGTAGGTGTGTAGGTGGCAGGTCCAGGCAGGCAGCTAGGGGGCAGTGGGCAGGCAGGCAGGGGCAGGCAGGCAGTAGGTAGGCAGGCGGTAGGTAGGCAGCTAGGCAGGCAGGCAGGGAGACATGACCTGGGTGCTGGTACGCTTGTATGAACGATCCCATGCACAGGTGTGTCGGTGCGCTGGTGGCATGCGCAGTTGGCACGTGCCGCCCATGGTAAAATCGCAAGTTTAAACCACACATCCCAGAATCCGAAGAGGGCGCACGGCGCCCCAATTCCTAACAGCAAGTAAACGTAACGTAGCTTAGCCCTATATTAAATATTCCGCAAGCTGTACTGCCACAAGCAAAGGAAAAGCTGGGTCTCTTCAGCTCCAAAATCCCACGATGCAGCTGCTGCCTGACTGCAGTCTCGGGGGGTTGCATGCGGAGTGCCAAACGGATAACTTTGCAGATGTATGGCAATCGGATGGTCAGGCCACAAACTACTACCCAGCTGCTAGTGGGTGTCTATGCGTCTGTTGGGCTGAGGTTTGCAATGTTCGTACAGGGTTTGCAGCTTTACGCTCAAACCCTAAGCTCTGAAATCTTCTGAAATGTTATCGTTATGGGCTGTGGCATGTAGGGAGGTGTGTGGGGTCTTGCAGTTCGAAGCCCTGTGTATAAGCCCTAAAGCCCAGAGCCCCGTACTATACGATCCTGAACCTTCAACCCTGAAGCAAGCACCCCAAAGTCTGAATGGGAAAGCTCCGAGCCCGAAAACCGCACCAACCCCGTGGGGCGGAAGTTCGAGCTCAGGCCTCGACGGGCTTAAACGACTCTGCAGCTGCTGCGCAAAGTGACCGCTTGCAGATTCCGGTTGAGCCCTGCAGGTCTTTTAATGTTCAGGTTTGGGCCTCTGGCGCGGCATTTCCCCAAAGCTTCACATGTACCTTCCGTACGGTACTTTCGATACTGCAAAGCAATGCAGGACTTGCGACAAGTCCACTCGCGCAATCCTTACGTGTGGTCGTCCATGTGAAGATTGGTTGCCCTGATGCCCGCAATGCTTGTGGCAGAAGGTGCCAGGTGAGTCGGGAGCACGAGATGCAGAACCGAGAAGCTTCGTTAGGGCATCATATAAGACGTGCGATGTTAAATCCGGAATGCTGCATCTAAACCTGACCCATTCCGAGTGTAGCAGTCGATGCCATGGACCCTAAGCACGCAACATCTCGAAACAGCTATTGGTATTATTGCGCTATTTACTACAATTACTACTACTGCTACT